TAAAACCGTTACCAAAGCTTCCTCTTCTCATTCAGATAATTTACTTGAGACGATCACCGGTAAGGTTCCATTTTCACCTGAAAAGGCATATTTCAAATATTCTGGTAACTGCTTTAATTATACCTTAGGTTCCTACAAAACAGAAGGTAAAATTTTAGTATTAGAGGAAGGTAAAGATAAATCAGAATTGATTGAATGAATATTTTCAAACTCCATTTCTTCCTCTTCCTGGCAAAGTTCAGGATCCTTGAAAAGATTATAAGAAAAATTAGATTCAATATATTCATCAATTAAAGGATCTATAATATCAACATAATTAATTCTTTCAACACGATCCTGGTATTTCATTGCTTTGTAAACATCAAATTCAATGATCTCACCATCAAATTCCATTATCAGTATACCACTTCTAATATCGATTTTTGTATGTGTTGTGCTTAGGAAGGGTCATCCTAAGAGTACTTTGGAATAAGAATCCAACCTATCATATTCCATGTCAATGACATAGAAAGTTACAAGAAAAAATAATACATCGACCTTTACTAAGACATTTTCCATCACTCCCACTGGATAGATCACAGATCGATCAACCAACTGTATGGTTATTCTTGTTTTCTTCAAAGGCTCGTTAGTATCATTTTATAAATATAAAATGGAATTACGTTGATTGAAGCCCCTAAGTCACACATTGCACGTTTAATTTTAAAATTACCTATTTTATAAGGTATAGCGAACATACCTTGATCCTTCATCTTTGGTGAGAGTTTTCGTTGAAAAATTGCTGAAGCATGTTCTCCCAAATTTACCTTTTCCTGCCCTCATTAATTTTCTCTTTGTAGTGAAAAGTTCTTTTAAAAATCGAGCATACCTTGGTACTTGTCAAATTACTTCAAGAAGAGTTATGTTAACTTGAACTTTTTGGAACACCTCTAAGATCTCCCTTTCTTTAGCTCTTTTATCACGCTTTATCAACCTTGATGAAAAGGGTGGTGGCGTGATTTCATGAGAAAAAGGAGAAGGATGTGCGTCAGATGTACCTTGTATTTCTGGAGGTAGCGTTTCTCCTTGTTCTTCCTGATGTGTGGCTTTTTTTACTGGAACTTTGGGTGAGATGATTGTTCCACTTCGGAGTGTGATGACACTAATATTCTCTCTTAGATTTAACTATGTTTAAGAAGGTAGTCTTCCTTGTGATTCCAATTTCCCCATAGTTTGAGCTAGTCGACTCACTTGGTTATCCAACTCTTGAAGATGTGTTTCGGTTCGGGTTTGGAATTTTTCCTGGGATGCAATTATCTTTTTTGTAGGATGTAACCAACTTTTCTTGTGAAATTGCTAATTTTTCTATGATTACCTCTAATGATGGCTTTTGCGTTTGCTATTGAGGAGGAGGTCTTGGTTGATAAGTTGGCCTTTGATTTGTTGCATAGTTGAAATTTTGGTGGTCTCGTCATACCAGATTATAAGTATTATTGTATGGGTTGTATTTTCTTTGTGGAGGACCTAGAAAGTTTCACACGACATTGATTTTTGCATTGCCTCCTTATTGTATCATCGGGCAGTAGTCCGTCGGATGGTCTAGCTTTGTGCATATCCCACAAGCTCTTGTTGCTCCAGATTTTCCTGCAACAAGTGAATTAACTACTTTAGTTAATTTAAATAACTTATTTTCAAGGGAAAAGGTACTTATCTCGTGAACCCGTCGGCTGGGTTCACTTGAAAACTGTTGAGAGTTGGCTATCATGGTTGAAATCAATTCTCTTGTTTTTGTTGGGGTCATGTTGACTAATGCTCCTCCGCTGGCGGCATCTACCATTTTCATTTCCATTGGTAAAGACCTTCATAAAAGTATTGAATTAATGTTTGCTCACTTAATCTGTGTTGCGGACAATATGCGCAAAACTTTTTAAATCGTTCCCAATAGTCATAAAGACTTTCATCGGTCTTTTGCTGAATGAATAGAATACTCCTTCGTAATTCGCTTGCTTTAGCCGCTGGGAAGAACATGTCAAGAAATATTTGACTCATGTCAGCCCATGAATTAACTTAATTCAGAGGTAAATAAAATAACCAAACTTTAGCCAAGTCGGCTAAAGAGAAAGGGAAAGCCCTCAATTTAATTTGATCTTCAGTAACTCCTTGTGGTTTAATGCTAGTGAAAACCACGTGGAACTCCAACAAGTGTTTTGTGTTGATATTCAGTGGGAAAGTCGTGGAAAGTGGGAAGAAGATGAACAAGTCTCGTCTTTAATTGAAACAGAGTCCTACTACTAGGAAAATTGATGCATAATGATGTCTGAGTGAAAGGAGTTGTGGCTATCTCTCGGATCGTTTGTTCTTATTTTGTCATATGGATTTGATATTCGTTATATGTGTCTGCTTCAGAGTTTGTTCCCGGGTTTGATTCTGTTTCTAAACTCTGCCCTTATTCTTCTTGCCTTTTTTTTTCTTAAAGCGTTTGTACGTGGATTCTTCGTGCTCATGCTTCGATCTCCGGGTCTAGATCTGCTAATTCACCTGAGTTTCTTCTAGTCATAAATAAAAAACAAGCAAAATAAATTAGTACTTGTCGTTAGTCCCCGAAAACGATGCCAATTTGATAATGTCATTTTGCTATCAAAATAATTTCGGCTTCTTAATAATTAGAAAGAGAAAGTAGTATAGAGAAGCAGGGTCGATCCATAGGGACTGTGGTGTTTCTGATTTAGTGAAACTCTTTCTTAATTTAGAAGAAGATAGAATGCGAGATAAAGATGAGAAGATAGAATATAATAAAATAAATAAATAATTATAAAAATGAAAAATAATAAAATAATAAATTAAGATAATGCTAAAGATAAAAAGAGGGTTTAAATTGTTTTAAGAAATAAAAAGATAAAGATTAAATAAATAAAATAGATTAGGATAAAGAAAACTTATAGTAAAAGCAACCTCAGACTTCATCTTTGCCTCAAATTCCTCGGATCATCGAAACAGATCTTTACTTCAAGATTCACGTTGGCTACTTGTCTTCAAGGACAATTCCTTGTGACTATTCTTTGTGTACCGAATATCAAGTGCACTATTAAATTTTAGTTTTTGAGTTGATCTAAGCAAAAACAATGATGTAGATCTTAAAACATTGAAGTTCGAAAAAGCTACCGACTCGGATTATATTATTTAACAATAACTGATTATGATCTCAGTTTTCTCTTAGCAAACAATTTTTCTAAGTGTGTTCACAGGAAGTCGAATGTGCTTCAATAAGCCAATCATTCTTCCAACATTAACCATAACAACATCCAGACCAACGTTGACTTTTGGTTTTGAAAATTGTTTTGATTTGAAAATAAGCCCAGAAAACAGTGAGAAACATCCGAAGCAATTTAAGTGTCTTACAATTCTCATGTTTGGAATTGAGCCTTCGCTTTAGCCTTCGGCTTAAAATAAAATTAGCTAAGCATGACCAAAGTCATACTTATCATATTTGAAAACAATATTTTAAAAGAAAATAAAGTAATATGCGAAAAAAGCTTGAAAGAAAATAGAGAGAAAGGTTGAGAGAAAAAGAAGATTTAATTCTAATATGTGAGAGATATATTTCTAGGCTTACTCTAAGAGGGTATTTATAGCCTTCAAAATCCTAAAAACAAGCTAAAGATAATTTCTAAAATAAAGAAATAAATCCTAATTAAAACACTTAAACCTATTTAAACTAAAATTCCTAAAACAAATATAATATTTAAAATAATATCCTAAAACATGAGTTTAATTCAAATCCGAATTGCAGAAACGTGCAGTTGATCCATTCATTATTCTAGAAGCACTGATTGGACCTTCTAGAAGGTGTTGATGTCATCGTCTCATTGGATGTTTCATTCCCAAAGTCATGCCCACTAATCCAGCTTTGATTCCGAAAATAAAAAAATGCAGAATTCTGTCCTTTTAGTGTAATTTCCAGAATCTAACTTCATGCACAGAAAATGAATCAAAACGAACAAATAAGCCACAAAAACCAATGATTAAGTAGTAATTTAAAAGCAAAATATTAACTAAAATAAGCAATTATCAGTGAATATCCGGATATTGTATGTAGGTATGCATCCGATGTATATAAATTATGGGTTGTATCGATATGAATTCTGATGTATATAAATTCTGGAATCGTACCTTATGCTCGATTAGGTTCGAGATGTGAACTTTCGATGCACATAAATTTTGGACCTCACCCCAACCTCTCGAGGATCCGAGGTAGACTAAGGGCTATAAGTTCTGATGCACATAAATTTAGGTTCTTACCCTGAACCTACCACATTCTAGATAGAATTGTATGTTGTCCGAGATGCACGCAAATTCCTCCAACCACATCACTCGGCCTATCTCGTGTTTGTTATGTACTTTTGCATGTTTTGACTTTGCACACCAGCATTTGCATGTCATGAATGCATGTAGTACTGCATAGTTATTCTCGTGGCACTGAGCTTGTGAGCTCAGCGTATGGAATGTGTTTCCATGCATAGGTTAGTAGAGGGATCGTCGAGGAGCCTATCGTATTAGTATATTCCAGATCAGTCGCTATAGAATATGTCTTGAGTCTATTTTAGAGGACATGTATTTTATATGGACCTTTGTATGATCGAGTCATACCTCTATTTTGATTTAAACTTACTGGTTATATCTTTATGTATTTGGAAGACCCCCATACTTTGTAAACTTGATATTGATTCCGTTTAATTTAAGATGAATGATTTTGATGTTATTAAATATTTAAAAAATAAATTTTTGGGTTGACCATTTTGGTGGTTTCATGTGATGTCATAATCTATGGATCTTTGAGTCGAACTGAATTAGGGTGTTATATTTAGTAGTATCAGAGTGTCTAGGTTTAGTCATTCCTAGGACCCACGGATCAGAGTCAGTAAGTTTCTATGTGAGTACATGCCCCTAGAGTGTCAAAGATACTTAAGTTTCTGGAATGGTGATAGTGACCTCACTTTCCATTCTAATTTCAGTATTCGATCATGGCCAACGATACAATCCTTAGTCTTGATGGTCAGGAGGAGAGTCGCGCCTCCTTGACTGGAGATTTTGATGACAAGTACACCCTAGATTCTGATAACAAGGTACTTGCAGACGTTGATTTCGATGAGGCAACAATTTTCCACGGTCTGATCTCGATACTTAGATAATAGTTCACGCCATACCTAATCTGTCTACTATGCCACCTCCCCCACCTGTATCCCAGTACAGCCTATTGTGGCACATCTAGAGTCTCCAATTGAGATGTTTTGCCATTATATGATGATCAATTTCTATGGATATGGGGATAGCGACCCCATCTTTATAGACCAGTGGCTTTAGGAGACGCTCTATACCCTCCGTCAGTTACACCTCACTCCCAAGGGTAAGTTGGAGTGCGTCACCATCCTATTTAAGGGTGACACGATAGACTGATGGGAGATTGTAGAGTTGGCGATGGAGCTAAAGTTGCCCACTTGGTATCTTTTTTTGATAGAGTTCAGGGAGAAGTGCATCGGTGAGACCCACATTGACGATATGCGAGACCAGTTTTTGTACATGAACCAGGGTGACTAAACGTACTTAAGTATGAGAAAGAGTTTCTTCTTCTAAGCAAGTACGCTCCAAAGGTAATTTTGACTGAGTCTCGCCATTGTAGGAGGTTCAGGGAAGGCATCCAGTTGGACATCCAGACTCATCTGGTAGTCGACCATCCTTACATCTTCGTAAAGCTGACTCGACAAACAAAATATGTGGGGATGATCACAAAAGAGAAATATCAAATGGAAAATTATTCAGTGGGTAAGAGACAGAGGGCTCCAGAGATAGTTAGATAGTCTCAGTCATCAACGAAGTAGGCCAGGGCTCCTCAGAGTTTAGGAAGACCACCAGCAGGGCCTTATATAGGAACAATTCAGAGTTTAGACTATGGGGGTAGATCTGACTCTCGCAGAAGACCATTATCATCAGTTTCCAGATCGAGCACTAGCATATTTGAGCAGGCACTATCTTATCCAATGTGTTTGACTTGTGGGAATTGACACCCTAGAGAGCGTCACTGACCTACTGGAGGTTGTTTCATCTATGAGTCCTTGGACCATTTTGTAAAAGATTGTTCCCAAACTCAGAGTTCAACCTCTGCATCTTCATAGAGATCCGCTCATTCTGTTCAGCAAAGCTGAGGGCCTTCAAGGGGTGGCAGAGCTATTATAGAGCAATACAATAGGGGTACCACCATATCAGAGTTCATCCAGGAGCCTAGAGTAGCATCCCGCCAGTATGTCATCAGAGTCTAGGAGGAGTATTATGCTGCCGATGTGATTTTAGGTATCTTTACAGTTTTCTCAATTCTTTGTTATAATATTAGTAGATCTGGGTTCCACCCACTCCTATATATGCTATGAACTTATGCAAGAAAAGAATATCCCATTCGAGGATTTGTAAATAGGGGTCAGAGTGTCTAGTCCCCTATGATTAGATATTTTGGTTGACAAGGTTCACCGCCATTACCCCATAGAGGTTCAGGGTAAAGTATTCTTAGCTGACTTAATGGAGCTACTATTTCGGGAGTTTGATCTGATCTTAGGCATAGATTAGCTTACTGAACACGACGCAAGTTTGAGATGTAAAGCGAGACAACTTAAACTTTGCAAGGATGATGAGACCAAGGTAGTGATGACCAATGGGAGTTCGGGTTTCATAACCAAAGTTGTTTCGGTTATTAGGGCTCAAAGATTGTTAAGTCAATGATGCGAGGCCTTTTTGGCTCATATCATGGTTACACAAGTTTCTGTTCTGACACTTGAGGATATACGTACCATGCAAGAGTACTCTAATGTGTTCTTGAAATAGTTATTGGGGTTACCACCTTACCGTGAGGTTGAATTCAACATAAAGGTTTTGTTAGAATCAACTCTGGTGTCCATTGCACCCTATCTCATGGCACTGACAGAGTTGAAAGAACTTAAGAATTAAATTTAAGAGTTGTTAGATAGGGGGTTTCATCTAACCGAACGTTTCACATTGGGGAGCGTTGATCCTTTTTATCAAGAAAAAAAGATGGTTTAATGAGGTTGTGCATCGACTATCGGCAGTTAAATAACTTAACCATCAAGAACTGCTACCCTCTACCTCGAATTGATGATATGTTTTACCAACTTAAGGGCGTATGTGTGTTCTCTAAATTAGATTTGAGGTTAGGGTATTATCAATTAAAGGTTAAGGAAGCCGACATTGCCAAGACCGCTTTCAGGATAAGGTATGGCCACTACGAATCCCTCGTGATGCCTTTCAAACTCACCAATGCCTCAAAAACATTCATGTATTTGATAAACCAAGTATTACATCCCTACCTAAATCAGTTTGTTGTGATTTTCATTGACGACATTCTTGTGTACTCGCGGTCCGAGGAGGAGTATGATCAACACATTCGTATCGTTTTACAGTCACTTCGTGAATGTCAATTATATGCCAAGTTTGGGAAGTGTGAGTTATGGTTGACCAAAGTGGTATTTTTGGGTCATGTTGTAGAAGTCGTTGACATCCTATTAGATCCCCAAAATATTAAGGTAGTGATGGAGAGGGAACCGCCTAAGAATGTCACTGAAGTGCACAGTTTCTTAAACCTTACAGGGTATTACTATCATTTCATTAAGGGTTTCTCTATGATTGCATCACTATTAACCAAGCTACTTCAGAAACGAGTTCTTTTTGTATGGAACGAGAAGCGCCAAGAGAGCTTCGAACTGTTGAAGTAGATCTTTACGCAAGCCCCCTTCTTGACACAACCAGGATCAGGTAAATACTTCACCATATTCAGCGATGCATCACTAAATGTCTTGGGTTGTGTTATAATGCAAGAAGGGAAAGTGGTGGCATGTGTGTCTCGTCAGCTCAAGCCTCTCGAGTGAAATTATCCTACCCACGATTTGGAGCTTGCCGTAGTGATTTTTACGTTGAAGATTTAGAGACACTATTTATTCGGGGAGAAGTGTCATATCTTTATGGATTATAAGAACCCTAAGTATATGCTTACTCAGAAGAAATTAAACTTGAGACATCTAAGATGGGTAAAGCTTTTGAAAGAGTATGATTATGTGATTGATTACCATTCGGGTAAAGCGAATATTGTATCAGATATGAGCAGGAGGACCGTAGTAGAGTTGCGAGCTTTGCTACCATGCCTGAGTTTGACTGATTCGGGTTGCTTTTTAACTGAGTTGAGAGTTGATCCTGAGTTAGTTGGTGAAGTTAAGAGATTACAAGGTTCGAACGACCGATTGAAAGCCCGAGTAGAGCAAGTCCTCTGAAGTAAGGCTCCAAGTTTTGAGTTACACGAATGATGCATACTGTACTTCCGAGGGGATTATGTGTGCCGACCGACAAATAACTTCATGACAAAATCCTTAATGAGGCTTATTGTAGTCCCCTCTTTGTTCATCCGGGTAACAACAAGATGTACCAAAAGCTCCGACCATTGTATTAGTTGTTGGGTATGAAGAGAAAAGTGTTTGAATTTATTGCCAAGTGCTTAGTGTGCTAGCAATTCAATACGAAACACCAGACTCTCTCAGGATTATTGCAGTCGATTCAAATTCCACAGTTGAAATGAGAGAGTGACGATGGACTTTGTAACTGGTTTACCGATGACGAGGTTTCGACACAATGCCATGTGGATAGTAGTAGATCGATTGAACAAATCTTCTCACTTTCTTCTGGTTCATATGGACTACATGTTGGAGAGATTGGCACAACTTTACATCCACGAGATTGTGAGATTGCATGAGGTCCCTATATTGATCTTTTGTGACAGAGATTTATAGTTCACTTCTCATTTCTTAAAAGCGTTGCATTGAGTTTTGGGTACTAAACTGCATTATATCATCGCCTTTTATTCTCATACAAGCGAAAAATCCAAGCGAGTTATTCAGATTTTAGAGGATATGCTTAGATAAACTGTTTTGGATCTTGAGGGTAGTTGGGAGGATCACTTACCCTTGGAAGATGTCGCGTACAATAACAATTTTGAGGCGAGTATTCAAATGGCTACGTATGAAACCTTGTATGGGATAAAGTGCATAATTCTATTGTATTGGACAGAGCCGAGTAAAGGAAATATTATAGGCCCCGACTTGATCTAAGAAGTAGAAAAAAAGTTCAGTTGATTCAAAGTTGTCTGAAAGTGGCATTAATTGACAGAGGTCGTATGCTGATCTGAAGCGCAAGGATATTGAGTTTCAAGTGTGAGACAAGGTATTTATCAAGGTTTTCCCGTGAAAAAAAGTACTTCAGTTTGGACGCAAGGGTAAGTTAACCTCACGATTCATCGAACCGTATGCGATTTTGAGAGATTTGGACTAATTGCTTACCATTTGGCGTTACCTCCAGAACTCGAACGCATCCATAATATGTTCCATGTCTCTATGCTTCGAAGGTATCGATCTGATCTGTCCCACGTCATTCCCCTTAAGCAAGTCAAAGTGAGGCAAGACTTGACTTACGAAAAAGAAACGATTCGAATAGTTGCAGAGATGTTAAGGAGCTAAGGAACAAAAGGATATTGTAAGTGAAAATTTTGTGGAGAAATCACGGTGTAGAAGATACGACATGAGAACCCGAAGAGGATATGCATCTTCAATATCTGCATCTCTTTTATTCAGGTAAATTTAGATGAGGAAATTTCTTCTCAGGAGGGGAGTCGTAACGCCCCAAATTTCGGGTTAGGAGTTTCGGATATATTCGATTTGGACTTTAAAATATTTTTCCCAAACCCATGAAGCTTTAGAACCAAATTGATTTGATTTGGGCTTGTGATTAACCCAATAAGTTTTAAAAATGGGTGTTTTTAATATGGACCCAAATGTGGAGAGACTAAGGGAGTAATTAACCCATTTTTCAAAGCAAAGGTTGATTTCCCATTAAGAATGATGACTTAGCGTTTGAAACATCCTCTTTGATATCTCATTTTCATCACTTCCTTGTCTTCTTCCCATCAAACTCTCATTTTCTCTCTAATATTCCAAGAAACGGGAGAACATTACCTTGTTTCAAATTTTGTTTAGCCACACCAAGGTAAGAATATTAATCTCCTCCCTCCAAGCTCTCATTCAAGCTCAAGTTTGCAAGTTTTGGCTTTAGAAACCACAAATGGGTTTTTGTGGGGGTTTATGTAATCTTTAGTTTCAGCTTGTTTTGTGAGATTTGAGTTGTAGGGAAACATTTTTAATATCATCCTAAGGTTTTGATTTAGTGCAAGAGAAGGTGATAGCTCTATGGCAAGGGGCAAGGAAATGTTAACTCTTGGGTGATTCAAGGTGTTTTCATTCACCTAACATGTAGGTCATGATATGCCCATTTATGGTTTGTTTTGTTCATGAAAGCATGCTAGAGTAATCCATGGTAAATTTCATATTTGTTGGTTGCAAGCATGAAAGTTAGTACATTTTGACATCTAAGACACTAAATAAGACTTTAAAAATGATTACTAGTCTTAGGGGAGTGAATGGGTGAGGTTTTGGTATGATTTCGTGCTCAAAACCGAGCACTTCTGCCCGTTGATATCGGTATTAGAATAACAGTATCGATACTATTCTTCGTGAAAGACAAAAACCATGCATGTTATAAGGCAACGGGTAGTCATGTTGTATTGTGTAGAATAGTCCTAAGAAGGCAACGACATGGAAATTTAATATTTTGTCATTTGTGTGGAAAAAATAATAAAACGACAGCAGTTGTTACCCTTCTCAGCTGGTTGGCGAGTCATGGTGGAAGTGGGGAACGCGAGAAAGGAAGCCATGGTAATGCATACTTTAAAAAACAATCCTTTCATTTTGGATAATTTATTGAAGGATGAGTGAAGCATATTCTACATCTCACACTACTATTTATGGGCCCGAGCTTGATAATTGATAAATGCAATTTATACTCAAAAAAGAGAAAATTTGACTAATGGGACCAACTCATGAAATTTCCACGGCAATGCTATTTTTTATATAAATTTTAATTATATCTGTATTTTTTTTTTGTTGCATTTTCTCGACTCCAATGAACCTTTCCAAACCCTTTCTTTTCCAAGATGATATGGTTATGAACTATTCGACATGTGTTGTGGAAATTGTCCGAGACAATGACATGGAAATTTCATGTTTTATCATTTGTGAGGAAGAAATATTAAAAAACATTGACCCTAAGTTTTGAAATTAAATTTTCAAGTAAAAAATTTCCTTTTTAGTTGATATTTTTTTTTTTGGACTGTGAGTTCAATATTTATTAGACATAAAATTTCCTTTCATTCTCTCCCTAGATAGAAATTGTTTAAAAAAATATAAAAATTAAAGTTAAAGAATCTTTATAGGTAACTTACTAATTAAAGAGAATATTATTTGGATTTAAACAACATAATTTATATGTGTACATGACTATAAATTTTGATCTTAAAAGAAAAATTGAATTTAGAGAATAACATTAAATAAATAATTTTGTTAGAGTACTTCAAACTTATATAATTGAATCTAAAAAGCGTATCAGACATTGGCCCCATCTTTTAACGCGGATACAGTTTTAATTTTGTCGTTTGACTGACTATTTATTGTGGGTGTATTAATGTATGTTGTTTGATTGTTTTTTAGAAGATATTTTTATCTGACTCTTGTTGATTGTCATTATTATTGAGGTGTATATAAAATCCATAAATGCAATTTAAAAAATAAAAAAAGGATAAATTTTGATTAATGGGACGAACTCCGGAAATATCCACGGCAATGATATTTTTTATATAAATTTTAAAAATATATTTTTGTGGATTTTCCTGACTCCGTAAAGACTCCCCTAATTCACCCCAAAAGACTTTTGGGTATTAATTAATATTATATAATTCCTCTCAATTATAGATGAAATATTGACTCCAAGTCAATGTATTTACATTTTACTACTCATTTCAAACTCATGCAAACTTAAATGAAACAAGAGAGTTAAAATTCCAAAAACGTATCACGAACTAATTTATCTCAATGGTTGACGGAATCGTTGTTGTTTTTATAGGTCACGAATTCGAGCACCAACAACTACAATATGATGATTGAGTATTCATTGACAAATAGTTAAAAGTATTTAAAATATATATTACTTTGTAATCACATTAGCTTTATAATTTTTTTTTTGAAAAGTATAATCTATACTCTATATTATGGTTCTATTGGCAATTCATCAACAAATAGATATTAGGTTTCACATTTTGAATCAAAAAGATGTTTGTATAAATTATCGTTATTCTCAAAATATTTACAGCGTGTTTAGTTTTCAATAATGAAATATTTGTTTATATGTACGGACTCTTGTTCTAATTTATCCTTAAACTTTTGAATTTTAATTTCATCCTTAAATTAAGATTCTCATTATAAAATGGTCTCCAAACTTTTGAATCTTTCAATTTCATCCAAATATATAAGTAGTGCCAACCATTCTTTAACCTACTTTTTTTTCCAAACATGGCCTAATGATTTTATTAACAAGAGATGTGATTAGCATATACTTATAGTTTGAGATGTTCAAAAAGTTTGAAGACCAATTTAGAAGTAAGGTAATAATTTGGGGATAAAAATGAAATGTTCGATTCTACTCGATCCTATGTTCACCCCAGGTAAACTATGTGCAACAATTGTTTATAAAGGAGAAAATAACTTGACACTTTAATCATCAAGATTGAATAGAACAACCATTCATCGGGGGAGATGATTACTTCGATCCAATCGGTGGTCGA